GGTTTTCGTGGCTGTCTCCATTTAAAAAAACCCACCTGTCCGTATAGGGGGAGATTCTCCAGGCAGGCCTGCGGGTAGGTGTGTCTGTCTGCACACGTGTGCAGACACACTGAACTAGCGAGCGTGTTAGGTGTGTGTGTCTAGTTCCGTGTCTAGGCACATGCCTGGGTGCGGTGACTTTCACCCTGCACATACTGACTGAGCACCTACTATGTGCCAGGCTCTGCTCTAGGCTCCAGGGGGACAGCAGTGGACACAGCTGACAGCTCTGCCTTCGCAGGGAGGTGGCAATAAGCGCAGTAAGCGATCGTGTGTATTGGACGCCAGGGAATACGGCGGGCGGGCCGTGAGGAGGGCCTGGGGCACGGGGGTGGGCGTGTCCCGTGGGGAAGGTGCCTCTGAGCCGAGGCTTGGAGGTATGTGTGTGTACATGTGTGCACATGTGTGTGCATGGGAGAGCTGTGAAGGGGAGTGTGAGACAGAGGGGGCAGGAGGCACACAGAGTGGGTGGACTTAGGTGGGCGGCTGGGATTGGCTGGCTCAGGCGTCGGAGCCCTCCTACCTGCACGAACACCCACAGAACACTAACCAGGGAGCATGCCACCCCGAAGCACACTGTCCCCATTACAGAGGGGACCTGAGGCACAGGGGGCCTGCACAGCTCGCCCAAGGCCACATGTCTCGGAGACGCCGAGCTGTGCCCTGAGCCTGGCGGGTGGGGGGCACTCATTGGGGTCGCAGGGGGCCTGAACAGCTCGCCCAAGGCCACAGGTCTTGGAGACGCTGAGCTGTGCCCTGAGCCTGGCGGGTGGCGGGCGGGGGGCACTCATTGGGGTGTGACAGGTGCCCCCCCGAGTTGTGCCGCGGGACCTTCACAACTGTACCTGCGACACCCCCCCAACCCGGCTGGCTCCAGACTGGCACGGAGGACTGCCATGCCCGCTCCCGGCCCCCCCAAAGCAGACCAGTCTCATCTACCTTTCTGCCAGGTGATGGCCGGCCGCGGGGCCCCTGACGTCTCACAGGCCAGCACCACGGACATGCCGTCAATCACCGTGCTGTCCAGGGGACCCCTGGTGATGTTGGGGGCGATGCCTGCGAAGGGAGACAGCGGGGCCGTTCAGCTGCAGCTGGGAGGACCCCCCCTGGTGTGGGCCTCTCTACCCCCGTGGGAGAAGGCTGCAGGGGCCTCATGGGGTGGCAGCAATGGGAAGGGGCCAGGAGGACCCTCGAGGGCTCCCCACGTCACCCACCCGGAGACAGCGGGGCCGCTCAGCTGCAGCGGGGAGGGCCCCCCCTGGTGTGGGCCTCTCTCTCCCCCGTGGGGGAAGGCTGCAGGGGCCTCACGGGGTGGCAGCAACGGGAAGGGACCGGGAGGACCCTCGAGGGCTCCCCACGTCACCCACCCCGCGGAACGACCCAGGTGACGCCAGTTCCCACCCTGCCTTGCTTCTCACGCCTCCCTGTGGGGGAAACTGAGGACTCCCAAGAGCAGCTCACACCCCCATGATCAGGGAAATGGATTCACCATCATCAAACATGACATTGAGACTCTGGTTTCTTAAAACAGATAACAGTTATGGCCGATCGGACATGCCCACTGTCTGAGAGGCCGGCCACCGAGCCCAGCCGCCTGGGTGGGCCCTGCCTCCTCAACGTCAGAGCAGACGCTTTCTGTCCCCTTCCCTGACCTTGGCCCCCGCGGAACCCCCTGCCCAGGCGGGTGTGGGTGCAAGGCTCCAACACGGACCGGCCCCGGCCGGGCTCATAGAAGCTGCAGGCTCGATGGCAGCCATCCTGCCCATCCCGCCTTGGGGGCGACCCAGCTCCTCTCTGCCCATGGCCTCTGTGGCCTGGTGACCAGCCCTGGTGCGGAGATGAGGGCCCGGCAGACATGGCATCTGCAGAGCTTCCGTGTGGCCACTCTCAGTGCCACCCGAGGGCCAAGTCAGCTCCACTCAGGGGGCAGGGCCACTATTACCACCCCAAAGCGACTCCTGGGGGACGGGATTGGCGAGTCGGGGAGCTGAGGTTAAAGTGCTGGCTCTTGCCCGGCTGGCGTGGCTCAGTGGTTGAGCATCGACCTATGAACCAGGAGGTCACAGTTTGATTCCTGGTCAGGGTACATGCCCGGGTTGTGGGCTCGTGGGCTCGATCCCCAGTGTGGGGCGTGCAGGAGGCAGCAGATCAATGATTCTCTCTCATCATTGATGTTTCTCTTTCTCCCTCTCCCTTCCTCTCTGAAACCAATATATACATCGATAAAGTGCTGGTTCTCCTCTTTGGAGAAGCGAACAGGTCGGCTGGGCGGGGACGGGCCGCGTCAGCCTGCAGGGAGGGAACCGGGGCAGCTGGAATGCCCGAGCCTCTCAGAGCCCGTCCTCGGCCAGGACATTGGGAGGGCGCATGGGGACCGAGGCCTCCTCTGGGCACTGAATGTGGGGCTGCGGGAGCAGTGGGTGTAAGTGGCTTGTGCCCCCCCTCTTCCCCAGCTACTGCCTGGGATGTGCTCTGGGGCCCTGTCTCTGTCCCCAGGGGCCCTGGCTTGGAGCAGAGCTGGTCCTGGCTGGGACGGGCTCCGGGCAGGACGGGAGGGACTTACTGGTGACGGCCAGGTAGGTGGACGTCTGCACCTCGCCGGCGGAGTTGCGGGCGTAGCACTGGAACATGCCCGTGTCGTCGGGCACCAGCCCGCTGATCTGCAGGCCCCCGTCCCCGCGCTGCCGGAAGCGGCTCAGCCTCGCCACCTCTACCACGGCCGCGTCCTTGTACCAGGTGATGGAGGGCGGGGGCACACCTGGGGAGAGGGGGACAGTCAGCCGCCAGCCTCCCTCCCTCACTCCCACCTGAGGGGTGCACAGTGGAGGCCCAGAGTCTGTGAGCGGGTCCCTGGGTGACTTGGTTTCTAGAATCTTCTCAGACGGGTACGATTCGCCCTGGGAGAGGGGGAGGATGTTCTCAAATTCTTAGAGAGCAGGTGCTCCAAGACAATTTTAAATGTCCTGGATTTGTTCAGCTTGGGGATGCTGGATTGGCCAAATGAGACATTTTTTCCTGAAACATTTGGCAGAGATTCTTGTGCGTTTGGGGAACCTCCCGCTGGGAGTGGGTCCCCCAACCCCACGCGACCACAGAGCCCACGGCAAGGAGCACGCGGAGGGGACCAGGACTCCTTGGGGACCCCCAGAAGCCCCCGTACATGGTCTGCACAACAGAGTAAAGGGGGGCTCCCCTTGCCTCTCAGCCTCCCCACAGGTACCCCCAATGCCCCCTACTCTCCCTCCAGGCCTCTCTGCTCAAATGTAACTTCCCTAGAGAGCTCCCCACATCCGTTCAAAAGTGCACCCTGGCTCCGTGCCCCCAAAGACCGCCTGTGTTTCCTCGCTAGCGCTTTGCACCCCGACATTCCATGGCCCCGTATTGCATCCACTCAACGATGCACGTTCCTTCACATTGTAACGCCTGCGAGAGCAGGCCGTCTCCCCGTTGACAGCACGTCATAATTTAATTGGCGGTCTTTTTCCTTTCTCAGTGGTACATAAAATAATGGGGCGTCTGAGGACCCCTGGCATTTTAGACGAGAGGAAATGAGGGATCTTTATTTGTTTCTTGGATTGTCTGCCCGCCTCACAGGAACGTCAGTTTCCCACAGCAGGGCCCTGGCTGCCTGGTTCCTCCAGTATCTTCCCCAGCCCCGGGAACAGCGTTCAGCACAGGGCGAGCCGTCGGAAAAAATGGATGTTGACTGAATGCATGAATCCCGCCTCCCCCAGGTGGGTCCCCGGTCCCCGTCACTCCCTGCTTGCCTGAGCTACATTCTGCCTCTCTGCTCATTATGAGGTCACGTCCCACCGCCCGCCCCTGAGTTCATCCTGGTTTCGGGGGCTGTGTTTTGGCTCAGCTGCCCCAGAAGGAGGGAGGGTGGCGATGGGAAAAGCAAAAATTCCCTGGGAGCTCTGACCGGGAGGTCAAGTAGAAATGGTGGTGGTGGGGGGGTGGTGGAGAGGGAACAACATAACCCAGAAACCAGGCGGACCTTCCGAGGCACATGCAGGGCGAGATGCACCCACGTCCTCCTAGCTCTGACATGCCGGCAATTGGGCAGTGTCGACAACTCTCCAATTATGGGCAATTTGGGCCTGTCACCTATTCTGAAATCACAGTAATTTGGGTTCGTTTGTAACCCTCAAGTTATGATAACCTAGGTTGACTCCCAGGCCCGAGATTACGGTAATTTGGCCTGTTTGTTTCCCTGGGGTGTAGCTCACAGCCAGACTGCTCAGCGATGGTGCCTGGAGAAGGAGGTGGAGCTGAGAAAAGTCCGTGACAGAGACAGGAGAGGCTGAAGGTTCGGTGGTCCTTGTCCCCCTTCATTCCCACCGCCCGCCATGTTACCTTTGGCTCGACAGGGAATGTCCACCACTTTCTCCATCTCTGCTGTGATGTGTCTCTCTGGCTCCTTGACAAACTGAGGTGGTTCTGCAGGAAGAAAGACAGGGGAGGGGATCAGAGCCATGCTCCTTATGATATAACCATGCTGCCCCTACCCTTTTGGGACCCGCCCAGCGGCCCCGCTCCATCTCACCCAGCACAGACAGGTAGGCTCCACGGACGACGGAGGGGACGCTGCTGCTGCGCAGCACGGCCTCGCACTCGTAGAAGCCGGCGTCGCTGCCCGTGGGGTTGGGGATGGTGAGCCGGCGGTTGTAGTCGCTGATACCGCCTGACAGCAGCACCCCATCCTTCTTCCAAAGGATGTGCAGCTTGATCAGGGGCCTGGAGCGGGGGAGGGAGCAGGCACTCAGCCACAGGGACTTCCGGAGGCCGGGGGGCAGGCAGGGGTGAGGAGTGAGGCCCAGGGCCAGGTCGCCTGGGTTTGCCCAGCCTCCTGGCATTTTCTAAGCCCTTAGGCATGTTCCTTCAGTGCTCTGGGCCTCAGTTTCCTCATCTGTAGAATGGGGCAGCTGTGCTCAGCGGGGCTGGGGTGAAGGTGGATGCATGAACGCAGCGGCAGCCCTCAGAACAACTCAGTGCCTGGGGCTCCGAGAGCTGGAAGCTTCCTTCACGGGGAACCCTTCTCCTCTGCCCTCCCTGTGAGCCAGGCCCCGAATGTAACTCAGCAGATGGACAGGAGATGGTTACAGGCGAGGGAACGTGACGAGGAGGAACACGAGGGAAGCACCCAAAGTGTGGAGATGGGGAGACACAGGCAGGTGGATGGATGTACCCATCCCCCAACTTCGATGGGGTGAGGATGGGAGCCGAGCCCTTCCCCCCCAACCCTCTGGCACCCCCAAGGCTCCCTGAGACTGGTCTTGCCTGGCTCTCCTGTTTGGCACCTGGTGGGTCCCCAAAGGCCAATCTGCCGGGGGAGGGGGGTGTCTGTGTTAGTTCCACAGGGTGTTCAGAGGGTCCATGAAAGGGGGTTCCGTGGCCGAGTAGGTTTGGGCAACAGTGGTGTGAGTGCCATGAGGCAGGCTCCTCACCGCGGGTCTCCTGCATCGGTGTTACTGCACAGCCTTCAGGCCTTGGCTGCCCCCGGTGGCCTTGCCCACACCCGTGAGACACCTGGGCCCCAAGGGGCGGACTCGCAGAAACGCTGCTCCCCGCAGGGTCACACTCTCCGGGAGCCTCTGGCGGGGTGACCTCAGGGTTACTGGTCTCCCCCACCCATCACCTCCCTCGTCCCTCGGGAGCAGGAACCAGGAGTCAGGGCAGGCTGGGCCAGCACCCGGCCCCAGGCCTGGCCACCGAGGCAGGTGCTCGGGCCTTCCCGTGTCACCGCCCAGGAGGCCGAGGCCCAGACACGGCCGTGAGCACGGCCTCAGGGTGGCCTGTTCTCTCGCTCATTCTGCTCTCAGCAGCAGGGTGACCGCGGGCGGGCGGCCTGCTCTCTCTGAGCCCTGGAGTAGTGCCCTCTCTGCCGGGGAGTGGTTGTTGGGGAGAAAAAGGCTGTGTGGGGAGGCAGGCAACACAGTGCCACATGCAGTCAACACGCACCACATGCAGTCAACACGGCACCACACAGTCAACATAGCACCACAGTCAACACGGCACCACATGCAGGCAACATGGCACCACATACAGTCAACCCGGCACCACACAGTCAACACGGCACCACATGCAGTCAACATGGCACCACACAGTCAACACGGCACGACATGCAGTCAACATGGCACCACATACAGTCAACCCGGCACCACACAGTCAACACGGCACCACATGCAGTCAACATGGCACCACATAGTCAACATGGCACCACATGCAGTCAACATGGCACCACATACAGTCAACCCGGCACCACACAGTCAACACGGCACCACATGCAGGCAACATGGCACCACACAGTCAACACGGCACGACATGCAGTCAACATGGCACCACATACAGTCAACCCGGCACCACACAGTCAACACGGCACCACAGTCAACACGGCACCAAATGCAGTCAACATGGCACCACACGCAGTCAACACGGCACCACACACAGGCAACACAGCACCACACACAGTCAACACGGCACCGCACACAGGATGGAAGTATTTGTTCCCTGTGTGGCGAACATGAGGGTCCTGGCCCTAGCTGGTTGGCTCAGTGACCGATTCTGGTCAAGGGCACATACAGGGGTTGCAGGCTTGATCCCACGCTCCAGTTGGGGCACGTGCGGGAGGCAACCAATCCATGTGTCTCTCTCACATCGATGTTTCTCTCTGTCTCTCCCCCTCCCTTCCACTCTCTCTAAAAATCAATGGGAAAATATCCTTGGGTGATGATTAACAACAACAAAAACGGTGAGGGTTGTGCACGCCTCGGAAGGGGCCTGGATTGCCCCTGAGCGCAGGTCTGCCCTCCGCAAAGTCCATCACGTGAGCTGTCTCCTGGCACATGCCGGCCTGCAGGGAGGGCGTCATGGGCAGAGGCCCCGGCCCGTCTCTAGGCTGCTCTGAGGGTTGGACTGAGAGGACCCCCCGCCCCCCCACATCCCCAGTATCCTGGGCTGAGACCGGCAGCCCTCCAGCTTCCACCGGAGCCCGACCTCTCCTGTCGGCCCGCAGAGAACGAGCCGGCCTACTTGTATCCACAGCCTGCGGCAGCAGCTGGCACGGCCACCCTCTGTCCTTCCTTCGGGCTGAATACCCTTTCTCCTTTCACGGGTTCTCATATGACACCCCAGGGCCTTCCTGAATTCCAACAGGTCTCCTCGGAGCAGCCCCTGGGTGGGGAGTGAAGGGGGAGGGGGAGGGAGGCACTGCCCACCTGGCGTTGGCCACGCACTCCATGGTCACCTCCGAGGTCCCGGCCACCACGCTGGTGTTCTTGGGAGGAATGATGATGGTTGGGGCGATGGGGTCAGCAGGCCCCCCTACATCTGGGGAGAGGTCAGGTGTTAGCCGGGAAGAGCCAGAAATCCCATCTCTGCCCAGCGCCTGCTAGAGGCTGATGCCAGGCAGACACCCATCCTTTTCCGGTGGGCGGGTGGCCACAGGGCAGCCACCCGAGCAGCCCACGCTGAACCTCCGGACACTGACCCCAGGGACCCCTCACCTCTCCCCCTCCTCTGCTGAGGGGTCTCCATGGAGACCCACTGGAGACCTCCAGGGCCTTCCACACTCCCCCGGTCCTGTGTGAGGCCTCCACATCCTTCCCCACCTGCGTTTATCTCATTGGTTTCCTTCCTCTAGTTCAGCCTCTTCCACCAGAACGCAACCCCCCCGTACTGGTTTGAACAGTGTTTCCCCAAATTCACGTCCACAGCAGCTACGCGTGGAAAAGGGGCCTTTGCAGAAGTGAGCAGGCTACGACGGGGCCCTCCTGCATCAGGCTGGGCCCTCTGCCGATAGGACACGTCCCAATAAGAAGAGGGTGACTCAGACACAGCCACGGGGGGGCGGGCGGGGGGCCAGGTGCGGACAGAGGCCGAGATGGGAGGGATGCATCTACAAGCCAAGGAAACCAAAGATCGCTGGGGCCAGCGGAAGGGAGGGGAGGCGCGGAAGGCTCCTGGGCCTGCAGACACCTTGCTTTCAGACGTCTGGCCTCCAGAATTGCGAGAGAATGAAATTCTGGGATCGGCCTTTCAGGCGGGGGCACCTTGTTACAGCAGCCCCAGGAAACTCATACCTTGCTTGTGGCCGGAACCTCACGGATCTTCGCTTGCGGCTGAATTGTGCCTCCCCTTAAATACCCATGTTGAAGCCCTAACCCTCAGGAGACTGTATTTGGAGATGGACTACTTAGGAGGGTTACAGGAGCCTGGGCTGACCTGGAAAGTCTTGCTCTCCTCCCCTCTCCCACACCTCCAGCACGAGAAATGCTGTCTGGCACACAGTAGGTGAGCAAATACATTTGTCAGGTGAACAAGTGAATGAACTATAGATGTACTAACCCAGGGTTGATGGTGAGAACTGAGCAGGAGTGGGCTTCATTAAAATGAAACAGCCTGGCCGGTGTGGCTCAGTGGTTGAGCATCGACCTATGCACCAAGAGGTCACCGGTTTGATTCCCGGCCAGGGCACATGCCTGGGTTGCAGGCTTGATCCCCAGTGCAGGGGGCAGCTGATGGATGTGGATGTTCCTCTCTCATCAATGTTTCTATCTCTCTCTATCCTTCTCCCTTCCCCTCTCTAAAATCAATAAAAACAAAACCAAACCAAAGTAACCAAAGCCTCCTCAGAGAGGCAGTGCCCTTTCCTTTAAGAAGTGGCTGAGTCTTAATCTTTGTGGGGCAGGGTAGCCCCAACATTGGCGGAAACCCCAATATCCCCTGCACGCCTGCTCGGGCTCCTGAAAATACAACTGAGGACTTTTCTCCCACAGAAAATGACCCGTCTCCCTGGCCCCCATCCAGGAGGCTTGGAGGTGGCAGGCCCCATGACACACACAGCCCGGGCGACAGCGATAGATGGGTCATCCTTGATGGGGAGGGCTCGCGGGGCTCCACCGCCATCCCGGCCACCCCAGTCAGCCCTGGGCAGGTCTTCCCGCCTGCGCTCAAGGCCTGGCTGGGAAAGGTCCAAGTCGAATGGGAATAAAATGTCAAAAATAAAGTAAAATGAAGGGGGGAAGAAAAGAAGCGTATAAAATAAAATAATTGCAACAATATAAAAGCCTATGTAGGGGCCATAAAATGCGATCCGATTGAAGGCTGCTGATATAGCTGAATCCATAAAAGTGTACTCTACGGTGTTTATTATATCTGGGTGTGCAGGTACCCAGATTGATGGGGCCCAAGGAGGAGACGGGGGGGGGGCCTGAGTGGTGCCCCACAGTGTAGTCAGGGGAGCAGAGCCCTCGGTGTTTAAAAATATAAGGCTGCCCCCAGGCCTCGGGCCAGCTTGGTGGCTTTGGGAGAGGAGAGGGGAGATATTGACCCTCCATTCCACCCCAGGGACCCTGAAGCTCATGCGCAGGCCCAGGCGACAGCCTACAGGGCTCAAAGGGAGGGACAGGCAGTGGCCGGGGACCCTGGACCAGAGAAGGGGTCCTGGGGTTCAGGGAGACCTGGTTCAACACCCCTATCTGCTCCCGAGCTGAGCTGGTCTGGTGAGTGCAGACTATCGACACATAGTAGGTGCTCAATAAACGACAGACAGTCCTTCCTCCTGGGGATGTGCCTGGGACACTGGGGCGAACCTGAGTAAAGAAGGGGCGTCTTTCACGCGAGCTCCTGATGTAGACAGCCTCGGGGTGGGAGGAAGTAGAGGGGCTCCCCCCACTCCGGCCAAGCTGGATCCTGCCGCCCCAGGACGATTTTGGTCACAGGCACAACGAGGGGCACCCACTGAGATCCAGTCTCCCAGAGTCACCTCCTTTGATCCTCCCAACTCCACGGGGCCACGGGCATCCATTACAGCCGAGGAAACAGGCTCATGGGCCACATGACTCACCTGGGCCACAGGTCACCTGAGGGCTGGTGGGTGGGTGGGTAGCTGCTTCCCTCTGGGGCCTGACCTCCCAACCCAGCCCGGGCCGTGCACCGCAGGTGGCTGTGAGCTCTGGCAATGTGTGCCCAGTGCCCCTTTGATTTAATGGGATTTAATTTAAAATAATTTGCATTTAATTAAAAACAGGCCCTGAATCAGTTACCAGAACCTTTTAAGTAAGCCTGGAGCAAGCCGGCACACGGTCCCACCTCCCCAGCCATAAATTTTCTGAAATCTAAACCCAGGCCGCGTATGTCAGGTGAAAATTTTGCGTCCGGGTTGAGATGTGTGGCAAGGGTAAAACACACGTATTTTGAAGACACCGTATGAAAAAAAAAACAACCAATGTAAAGTATTGCATGGATATGTTCCAGTATTGATTGTCCGTTACCATGGTGCTATTTAGATACGTTGGGCTAAGTAAAATATAATAAAATATTCATTTCTCACCCATTTCTCATCCCTTTTTAAAAAAAGTTCGGCTACTGTCAAATATTAAGTAGCGTATGTAGCTCACATTGTATTTCTATTGGGCAGTGCAGGTCTGATCCTTCGGGGTGGGGCCACCCCCCAGGGATGGACGTTTTCAGGAGTGTGACAATGTGACAGGCCGTGTGAGGTCACCGGGGTTACACCTGGGCAGGGACAATGCCCGGGGCCACTGGCCTGGCTCTGTCCTTCGTTTCCGAAGAGCGAAGAGCGTGGGCATCGCTGGGAGGGCTGCTGAGAAGCTGAGCTGCTGGAGCAGAGGAGGGAAGAGGGTGATGGGGGAGGAGCGGAGGGAGGGGTGGCCCTGGAGGGAGGGGTGGCCCCGGGGGGATAAACATGAGGAGCTGGAGCTGGTGGCGGTGGCAGCTACGAGGCATTTGCTCGGAGTACAGGCTGACAGCAGGCACGCAGGGATGTGTGTCAGTGACAGGCACAGGGTTTTGAGGCACAGTCGCTCGTGGGAGGAGAAATTAACTGAAAACCAGCTGATTCCGCTCCCATCCGGTACCAGGCACACATCATTGCGTGAGAGCAGGAGGCGAGGGGCGCCGGGGTGGGAGAGACAGACAGCTGAGGAGGCTCGGTGGACACGGGGTCCAGAGGGGCCCTGCCTGCCTCCCGTGGGGCGTTAACAGGGAGCAAAGAGGGGACAATCTGCAGTCGGCCAGGAGATTGGGCGCAGGGGGAGGAACATGGAACAGGAGGCTCCGACCTCTGGTCTCAGGGGAGCGTGTGTCACCCAGGACGACGGCTGGCCTTGACCTGGACCATGAACCTTGCTTCCGACCAATCACTGGACGCCCCTGGACCCTAGGTGTCCTGACCACTGAAAAACATCTGGGGATAAACTTCTCCCTCTGGCGGTTAAATTCCTTTCCCCACAGGAACAGCCGCCTCAGGTCATGGGCTGCTAGACCATGACCCTGGCCCCAGGCCAACGTCAGAGGTGACACCGCGACCCAGATAGGCCAGCCCCCAGAATGCAACCTCCTCCCTGCATCCAGGTCTCTCTCTAGGCAGACTGGAACCTGGGGTGCAGGAGAGAGAACTGCAGAAATGGGGGAGCGGGTTGTAGGTGCTCAGAAGGCCCAGGAACAGACAGAGGCCGGGGTCAGAGGAAGGACACGGGAAGGCCCATGCTGCCCGCACCCTCCTCTTGCTGCTGGCGGGTGCGTCCCAGAGGCACCGCGATGATAAATGAGACTTGGGTTTGGAGCAGGGTGGGACAGATGTGCAGAGGCGGGAACATCTGGCTCCCCAGCTTGCGTGGTTGCTCAGCTGCTGCGGGAAGCTCTGGCCTCATCCTGCACACGCTGTGGTCCGTGGCCCGGGCGGGCTGCGGGGTGGCCCCCACCTCCTGGATCCCAGGGATGGGGCCGGGAGGGAGGGGGCCAGCCAGGCTGGGAGCACATCCCAGCATCTCCATCTCGGAGTACACTGGCTCGGAGATCACTGGCTCGGAGTAACGCCTCTTTGCCAAAGGAAGCTCAAGGAGACACCCTTTTAATTGCTACCCTCTGCTGCCCCGGGGAGGGCTGGGCCTCTCTGTTCCGGGGCACCGGGTGGTCTATGGGGATGGGTGACGAGGTGCTTCCAGACAGGAGTGCGGCCGGCAGCTGTGTCCCCGCAGCGAGGACGGCCTGGCTCCGGGTACAAGCTGCACCTGTACGTGCCAGCTGAGCACAGGCGGTTAGTGTATTTGTTTAAAGAGGAGCTCCCCACTTCCTGGCCGCTCTCCCTGTCTGCACCTGAGCCCAGGGTGGCACAGTCCAGGAATGTCACCCTCTCCTCCACCCACGGCCTCCTGGCCTCCAGAGCCCTGCTGACCGCCAAGCCCGGCATCCCCTCTCCTGAGGCAGGGTCTCAGACTTGTCATGGGAATGGGGTCCCCAACGCAGCCCCCTCCTTGCCTGCTTCTGACACTCGACCCCCGGCTGAGTCTCCCCCTCCAGCACCATCCATTCCATCTTTCCATGACCCCCGCGAGCGCCATTCCCAAGACTTAATGTCAGCTCTGCACCATCCCCAGGCCCGCTGTGTACTTACTCTCCACGGCCAGAGTGATGGGCTGGCTGGTCTTGTTGTCCCCGTTCTTGTCGTTCACAGCCTGCACGTAGTAGCGGCCGGCGTCCGGAGCCACCGTGGACAGGATGACCAGGGTATTCTCCAGGGTGATGGCTCTGGGGAAGGGAACAGGACTCGGCTGACAGGGGCCCGCGGGGCTCTCGCCACCGGGGATGGAGCGAGGGCAGGAGCTGGTGGTTCCAGGGTCCCCCCTCCAACCCTCCTCCCCAAACCACGTCCGCCTGCAATCCACCCACACTTAGTGTGTAGAGAACACGCTGCTAGTTCTGGGGACCAGACCCCAATACAGCATGTGTCCAGAGTCCCAGACCGCCGTCCACGGAGGCTCCCTGTCCCCACCCCACGCCTGGGCTGCGGGCTGTGCCCACAAGGTCCCTGGGACGTCTGCTCTTTCCTGTCACAGCATCGATGGCTATGTGGGCGGGTGGTTAGCGCTGTGGATGCACCAGGGGCACCCAGACACCTGAAGAAGTGTCCTAGAATGAATGAATGAATGAAGAATGAATGAATGATGAATGAACGTTGAATGAATAATGAATGAATGAATGGATGAACGATGAGCAATGATGTTAAATTTAGAAATGAACAGGACCATTCCAGAATCAGTGCCTTATCCTCATCCTAAATTTGTCTAGGTTGACCCAAAGGCCACAGGTCGTCAGGAGCATGGACTTCTGGGGTTCACATCCCCCACCAGCACCCCCTCATGGGACCAGTGTCCACCTCCCCAAAGCTGGTCAAAGGAGTGGATGGGCTGGGCTGGTGGAGAGGGAAAAAGGAGGTGGCCGGGCAGTGGGGTGCAGATGTGGGCTGTGGGCTCCCAGTCCGGCTCCCTCTGCGGGGACCCCCTCACACAGCCCCTCAGCACCCAGGTCTGCAGGCAGGACAAGGGGCTTGTCCGGGCAGGCAGCTGGGGAGCCCATTGGATGTGGGTGAAGCCGTGCCGGGGGCACTGCCCACGCCGCTCCGCTGTCATCTCCGCTCACCCACTCTCCCCGTGACAGACAGGGCCATTAGTTTGTCAAGTCGATCTCGGATTTTAATGCGATGTGCCCGAGACAGCTGTTAAATATCCTTAATGTTAGTTTAACAAGGACACATCCAGTTGAATTCTTTTCAAATTTTCCCATTAGGTGAATGTTACAGAGTTTTAAACAAGCTCTCAAACAAACAGCCCCATGAATGCCTCTCCAGCCGCTCCCCCAGCCGGGCTGGCTGGGGCCCCCTCGCTCCTGTGTATTTGGGGGTTCATGTGCAGTCTGGGGGAGTTCCCAGCAGGGCGCTGGGAAGTAGGAAGGCAATGCCCTCCTGCCCCAATTCTTGGGCGCCCTAATGCTGCCCTTTTTTTTCTGCGCGCGCTTGTAACCTCCAGCTAATGCGGTGATGGAGGTGGGACACAGTGAGGCTAAAATACTTAAAAAGCAACAAAAACGGGCCGGGATGGCGACCGTTTCCCCACCTGGGACTCCCTTCAGTGGAGCCTGTGGGTGGGCGAGGGTTGGGGGAGGGAGGCTGGGCTCTGGCCGGGACAAGGGGTGAGCTCAGGAACGGAGCTCTGGCCCAGCCCCTAAGGAGCACGCAACCTCCTCCTCGCTGGGCCTCAGTCTCCCCATCTGAGCAAGGGGTGGCAGCACCTGTTCCTGAGGGTTCCTTCCAGTCCCGAGGGCGGGGGTTCTGGTTCCGGTCCCTGCTTCTGCTCTGTGTCCATTTGGTCCGAGGCATCCCCCTCCCTCTCACACAGCCCTCACCTGGCACACGGTCCAGGCTCAGGACTGACCTGAGGAGCAGCTATGCGCTTGGACCACAGGGGTTCCAGCCTCCCAGCCACTCCCACTGCCACGGGAGCAGGTGGAAGGAAGCCTGGGGCGGGAGGGCGCACCGGGCGCTGGTCCCACGGTCCCGTTCACCTGGCTGTTAGGAGCCCCCTGTTGGCATCCAGGGAAGGAAGTTCCGCCTCCAGTTCCTTCTCCTTGGCCAGGAAGCCCCCACCCCACCCCCTTCTCTCCCTTTAGCTACACGTTGTCTATGTCATGACCCATCCTCTAGGCCCGTGGTTCTCCACCAGGGGTGGCTCTGCCCTCCAGGCGACCCCGGGCAGCGTCGGAACAACATCTGGCTGCCACAGCTGTGGGGCTGTGACCAGCACCTGTGGCGGAGGTCAGGGCGCTACTAGTCCACGGTGCACCGCACAGTGGGAATTGCTGGGCCCCAAATGTCCATTGTGTCGTGGCTGAGATGCCCTGTCCTAGGTGGGGTGGCATCCATGGTGGCAGATACGGTTGCTGCCCGCTTCAATTTCAGGTGCCCCCTCCATAGAGTAGGGTAGCCGCTGAGAAGTCAGGGGCCGCCCTTCCCAACCCCCGCCCCCTGGAATCTGGGGGCGGGGGGCAATGTGGCTGAGCTAGTGGGGTGTCTCAGCTTGGACCACAGAACCCCCTGCGTGATCCCCATGTTCTTGCTGCCCCCCTGTCAGAGCAGAACAACTGGGAAGCCCATTGTCGATGACGACACAGCTCCCACCAACCAGGGGCCCCCAGTGACTGGAGAGGAGCACCCCTCCTGCCCCTCGCCCTTGGTGGGCCTTTACTAAACAAACATCTATGGTTCGGGGGTCTGTTACTGCAGCTGGCGGTGCCTGGACCAGCACCCACAGGCCTGGGTTTGAGTTCCGGCTGTGGAGTGGAACAGGAGGCACAGAGGCTGGGAAGTGATAATGACCTTTGCCCTGCCCTCCCTCTGCCCTCAGTATGGCTGGGGGGGGAGGCACTATAAAAAGGGTCCCTGGGCTCACAGCCCCCTTCGGCATGACCGGCCGCTCCACAGATGGTTCTGGAACCACCCTGGACCTCACTTCCCAAGTGCACAAAGCTGTTCTGGCACTGGGCCCTCGCCCCCCCACCCCCATGCACCCGCGCTGAAAGAAGCCCGGAGTTTTCTGGGGCTTGGCCGGCAGGGCTCAGCTCTCCAGCGGGGGGTGGGGGGGCTGGGTTCTATTTTTAGGCATCCTCCTCCGGTTTCAATTTGCCAGGTCCCCCCACCCCACCCTGCATCTGCTACTTCTCTTAAGTCAGCTTATTTCCCCGGCTCCAGGGGGCCCAATGGATCATTTAATTAAGAATAAAATAAATCATCGCAGAACCTGCCCGAAGCCCCCAGCACCGGCTGTCAGGAACCTGGTCTGCGGAGCACGGGGGATGGGCGAGGTGCTGCTGATCACCGGCTGTGCCGGGCAGAGCGCAGCCCTGGCCTGCACACCCCTCCGGCCAGCGGCATTCATCAGATAGGTATCTCTGGCAAACAGACACCAGAGAATTTCCTACCAGGAACCTTTCCTCCCGGTTATGAGTATTAATCCGCTGTAATTGCTGAGATAACATCACCCCGGCGCACTATCGTGCTCGGAAGGTGTGTGGAGAAGGTGGGAGCCTGCGCGTGCTCCCTAAGGCCTTCTGCCCCGATGCCCGGGCTGCTGGGGATGAAAGGCGGGTGAGGACAGAGGCCAGGAATGAGAAGAGGAGGTGGGAAGGTGCCGGGCAAGGGATGATGGGAGTGAGGATGCAGACAGGGTTCCACCGATCACAGCACCTGTGGTAGGTAAGGGCCCACGTGTCCCCTCCCGCAGCCACGGCACCTGCTGTCAATCTCTCATGGTCTGGACAGGCACCCACGGGACCTGGGTTTCCACTGAGTCTGAACGAGGCCTCAGAATCCTTCTCCACACGGCATTCCAGGGAGCCACGACTAAGTGATGGGCTTGCAGGATGCCACCCGATACGCCTCGGACACGTGAGATAACGTCAGAAAGGGGTTAGGGAGGGGCGAGGACTCACCACCTGCCTCAGCACCCGTGTGACACAGCATTCTACAGTTCAGCCTCACTGTCTGCGTTAACGGTTGACCGTGCTCTGTTCGCTTATTGAACCGTGACTAGGTTTAAGGGGGCACCTGGCTCACACAGCCTGAGGCCTCCTGCTACCCTGCACGGGGTTTGGCTCTAATTCTCCCCCCAGTTCTGCATCCACAGCCTCTGCCATGTGATGTCCCGGGTCCTCTCAACCAAAGGCAGAGTCAGTTCTCCTGCTTCGTGAGTCTGAGTTCTGCCACGTGACTTTCTTTGACCAATGGAGGTGAGCAGAGGCTTGAAAAAAAGCTGGTTCTGCTTCTCTCCTGCTCCTTCGCAGTTGCCAGGAGAGGAGGATGCTAGAACAAGCTGGCTGGAGGGTGAGCCGCGTGGAGCACAGATGAGTCACCCGGCCATGCTGATCCATCAATAGCCAGCTAAACCGGCCAAGAGACAGAGCCTAGCCACCATCACCAATCTGCAGATTCATTATGACAAATAAACACTTCTTGTTTCAGGCCCCTGGGACCATTTGTTACGCAGCATTATCATGTCTGTAGGTAGTTGATACATTCTAGGACAGTGGTTCTCAACTGCATATTGGAATCACTGGAGAGCACTTAAAAATCCTGATGCCGGGGTACATCCCATTTAATGAGGTCAGAATTGGGGGGGGGGGGAGATCTAAAGATCAGTATATGTTAAAGTGTCCCAAATGACTTCAAGAGGTCACCAGGTTGAGAATCACTATACCAGGACCAATTCTTTCCAAGGGCAATCACTTGTTCCACTTTGTCCCCATATCTTTGACCCTCTTCTCACACAATGTCTACGTAAGACAGAATTAAGGACCTGAGCCTGGAGTTGGCAAGCCTGGAACCCGCTGTGCTGAGATCTGGCAAAGTCGTTAAACGTTGGGGGCTTGACTTTGCCATCTGTAAAATGGGGATAAAACCAGCCCCCTCATAGGGTGGTCTTGAGCGTCATTCATTCCACACACGTTTCTGGAGCGTGCACGCCCCTGGGGAGTGAGAAGGGAAGGAGAGAGAGGTGTCTTCCTTGGAGGTGCTCCCCTGTCCCAGAGGGGAGGGTGAGGTATGGAGTGTGCTTAACCAGTCAACTGCCACGCGTCCAAAATGGAAACCATCCCCACACGCCACGGTATTTTGAATTTAACTTAAAAAACAAACTTGCGATGAATGCTATAAAAATAAATATATTACTCACAATTTGGGCGTTCTTGAATGTTTTTCAGTTGGAAATGCTCACGAAAAGTGACTTTTTAAAAAGCGTCTCTAGACGCTCATGGCATACAGAGGGTTAACCCAGGCCTGCGAACACAGCGGAGGCCCCTAAATGACAGCCAGTGTGATGACCCTTACGCTTCTCTCATTACACGTCCTGGTCCCCAAAGAGGCAAGATCCTCCTTCTCAGCTCCTGCTTCCTGCAGAGGCAGGCCGGCTCCACCTACAGCTCCTGCCCCAGGAGGCCCCGACAAGGTGTCCGTCCCCTTTCCCGGGAGAGGGGCGAGGGGGGGCCCGGAAGGGAGAGCCTGGCTGGCTCCAGGCCCCAAGGGGGTCGGGAGGGCCGGGTGTGTCCCAGGAGGCAATGCTTGCCCCGAGACCTCTGTGGAGGTGCTGGCTCCTTCACTCCTGCCCACAAGCCAGGCCGCCACCACCGACGCCATGGGCCACACAGAGGGGTTCTGTTAGGGCTGAAAGAGCCCTGTGTTCTCTCCCTGCCGGCGGGCCCCTGGCCTCATCTCCTCCCAGCAGCCAAAACACACAGAGCCCGGGCATGCCATGGACCCCCAGGCACCCCGCACACCGGAAACACCCAGGGGCCGGCGCCCGTCGGGGCGATACCAGCCCGCGGCCCCCGGGCCTTGCTGGCCAGAGTCCTGGGCCTGGACCATGGTGAGGGCACCTCTGCCCATGCCTGCCTGTTTGGGCTTGGCGAGCGCTCTTGGAGGCAGGATGACGCTCCAGCCGAGAAGGGGGCCAGCCCCGGGATTCCCCAGGAAGACCTTGCTTCCTGCTCCCAGGCTTCGCACGCACATTCCCAGAAGGGCCCTGGTAAGCCACAGGCTGTCCTGTGGGAGGGCCCCAGGCTGCTGTGTCCCAGGAGGGCTGTGAGTAGCTGCTGCTGCGAAAGGGCCCCACTCAGCGTTTGGGTTTTTTTTTTCTGGCCCCAAACCTCCCTCCCAGGGCAAGGCGCCCCTTTTCCCGTGGCTCCCCGGGTGCTCACATGCGGCTGCTGGGCGGGATCTTGCGGCCGTCCCGGAACCAGGTCACCTGCGGCCTCGGGAAGCTGGCGATGCGGGGGGCGCGGATGACAGCGGCTTCTCCGTGGGAGACGCTCTGGCGCTTCTCGCCCTCCTCAAAGCTCCCCATGTCTGCGGAGGGAAGAGCACGCGCGGGGTCAGGGGTCGGGGAGGTGGCAGAGACTGGCCACTCCTGGGGAGGGAGTGGTGACAGTGGAGGGGAGATGCCGGCAGGATGACCAGGGTGCAGGGTGACACCACGCTCAGACCAACCCTCATGACCTCACTGCCCCATCTATCATGTGCCCTGCCTTGGACTTTTGGGGTTACATCCATTTCTACCCATACGTATCCACGAAGCAACGGACTGGTCCCTCAGTCATGGGAGTCTGGTCGTTATTCCACACACTTTACAACTGAAATACTGCCCACATGATGGGCTCAGGGAGCCCGGGCACGCCATGGAAGGGGCAGAGTCAGGGTTTGACTCTGTCCCAGGTCATGTGGCCGTGGAAGGGGCAGTGGCAGGATTTGAACTTGGATCCTCAGAGTCTGGAGTCAGGCCAGGTTGTCCCTCAGCCCTGCCCTCCAGATGCTCGTGCTTGAAGTTCAGCCGCCATGTTGGAAGGAAGCTCAATCTAGCCCCCACAGACATGGGAACAGCTCACATGGGAAGGAACCGAGGGCCCCAGGTGACAGCCAGCGTCAACACAAACACGTGAGTGAGCGTGTGGGCCCTCAGATGACCTCCGCCCCTGGTCTTCGAAACCTCAGTCATCACAGAGCCCAGACAGGCTGCCCCTACTCTGCTCTGTCCAGAGTCAAGGCTCCCAGAGTCTCTGAGCGTAAGAAATGACCGCGCTACACCATCATGCTTTGGCCTACGCGGTCATGCAGCCATAGAAATAGGAAGAGTATGTTGAAGTGCTAAACACGGTACCCTGTATTTGTAGTGTTAAAATAATAGAATCCTATATATTTTTTCAAAGTTTTGTGTCAGCATCAACCTCTTCAACAAAGATGACCCCACACGACCCAACCAGAATCAAAGAACAAGGACGCGTTGGACACGGACCCAGCGCCAGGTTCACTTTCAGGTGGGCGTGGCCGGCACCGTCTCACTGAATCATCACGACAACACGAGAAGCTCAACGTTGATAAACAAACATTTTAGTTGTTGATTAATTGCTATTACCCGGCTCTGCCTGTAAAGAATCGCGTCAGTAAATCACCTTGATTCCAGTTCTTGCCATAATTTTATCTATTTAAGAAACTTTTCACAGGACTCTGAAGATATATTTGAACAATTTGAAGCAATTTCATGGTAATAGTGTTTCTTTTTCCTCTCTGCAGTTTTATTAGCTCCATTTCGTCAGCGAGGAAATTAAAGCTCATGGAGATGGAGTGGCTGATCCGGCGCTGAGCGGTGAAGGCTGGGCAGGGCCCGCGCGCCAACCTGGCCCCCCTTCCCGCCCCCTCGCCGCCTCTCTCATGACTCACACCCGGCATTAACATTCTTCATGCACATTCTTTATCTCTTCCTACTACAGTGTCAGCTGTAAGAGGCTGTTATATTCCATGGCACGCATGAGTGAACCCCTACAAGACACCTGGCCCCGCGCTCTCTCTAAGCTCACCCAGTGCCAGCATGCATGACTCTTATTGAGCCCCTCCGCGGGCCAGGCAGGCTCTGTGGCACCGAAGGACCCTGTCCCTGTCCCCCGGGAGCTTTGAGTCTGGCCAAGGAGACAGGATGAGCAAGCCAACTCACAGACAAACGTTCAGGGACATCAGGTGACGGCTGTGAGGAAGAAGAAACAGGGTCCTTGCCTGAGAGGCAGCAGAGGGAACCTCCTGTAGATGGAGGTGGGAGAGGCTCTCTTCACGGAGAGACATGCATAAAGAGCAGGAGTTAGCTGTGTGTGTGTGTGTGTGTGTGTGTGTGTGATGTGAAGGCTAGGAGGTCGGAGAGAAGGGCCAGTGAGAGGAAATGAAAGGCCAGTAGGGCAGGGGCATGGGTCTGTTCAGTGATGGATAAATGATAGATGGATGAATGGATGGATGGATGGATAGAGGAGGGGTGGGTGGATGGAAGGGAGGAGGAATGAGGGATGGAGGCATGGAAAAGTGTCTGCATGTATGTACATCTGAATGTATGTGTAAGTTTGTATGGCAGGATGTATGTATATGCATGTGCATGCATGTATGTTTGTATGTATGCATGTATAGATGTATGGTGGATGGATGAAGGAAGGGCACAGCTGGCCTAGGTCCCAGTTCTGCAGTTGACACTGCCCTGCACCTTTCTGTCCCACAGTCCCCCTGCCTCCCCGTGGCTCTCAGGCCCGTACCCTCCCATCCTCCCCACTTCACTCTGTCAGATGGGCTTCCTGGTCTGCCAGGAGCTGTGCCCCAGCGCCTGGGCCCGGCCACAGCCAGGCACGGACTGACCAGCAGCAGCAGGGCCGCCAGGAGGGAGTCACTCAGGCAGCTGTGCAGGAGAAAGGAGAGGAGAGAGGGCCACAGCCCCAGGGCCGGGCCCGGGTCCCCTGGGAGAGCTCCTGGCACTGAGGTAGACACAGGGGCTGCTGCACCTCCTCTCCTGCACTCGCGGCTAATACACCTGCGTGCCCTGTAGCGCTGATCCAACTGCCCCCACCAATTCCCCGAGCCAGCAGTGTGGGCCTGGGCGCAGCTGGGGGCGGCCTCCCAATGCTCCCTAATGTCTTGGTTGCAGCTGAAAAGGCCCGGGAAGGAGGCTTTCTGCTTCAGAATCTACTCATCGTTTTTATTTATTCTTAAAGCCGTTCTTACCATGAAATATGTCATTACACACAAAAGAGCGAATATAATTATAGGCATCATTTAAAGGAGAATAGAACAAACACTCGTGTACCCAGCACCCAGCTCCGGACCGGAACTCTGACAAACCTCGCCCCGCCCCGCTGCGCCCCTCCCAGGCACATTCTCTCCCTCTCCAGAGGGAGGGAATGCCATGTCAATCATGCATCGCCCTCCACCCCCCAGGTTTCAGCACCTTTAGACACCTCTGTAAACAATTATGGCTAATTTAGTCGGTTGCTAAGCCCTTTGTACCTGAGAGCACGCTGTGTCGTCTACTGTGACTCGCTTTGTTGTGCAACGTATTTTTGGAGCCCCATCGACGTCCCTGCACCTAGCTTAGTCGTTTTCACGGCTGCATGGACGCCGTGGATGGAGGCAGTACAGCGCCGCTGCAGGTTGGGCTGGTGTCCGTGGCTGGCCGGCCTGCTAAGAACCATCTCCTGCAGCTAAGAGAGTCCCCAGAGTATGAGCCTAAAGGTGCACTGCTGGCTTGCAGGCTGTGCACATGGTAATTTTACAAGATAATGCCAAACTGCTTTCCAAGTCGGCACCAGTTTTCCTATTCACGCTGCCACCAGTGCAGATGGGAGCTACTGCCAATGTGTGGTCTTCTAGACTCCTTGGGTTTGGCCAATCTGGTGGGCACGAGGTGGCATTTCATAGTGGTTTTATTTATTATAAAACAATGCTGCTCCGTCTAATCAGATGGTATCATGCCACTGCCCCCAACCACTATTCTGAGTAACAGCCAAAGAACCAACCACATCTTAGCGTGCCACAGTCTGTCCCCAGCACCTCACTTCCTCAGCCACATCTTTGACTCTCCACGTCCCACACCCTGCTCCAGCCACCCTGGCCTCGACACTCAAATCTACCCCAGGGCCTTTGCACTTGCTGTTCCTGGCCTGGAAAGACCCATCTCTCGGTCTGTGTGGCTCACCTCCTTCCTTCCTTCCAGGCTGTGCTCAATGTCACCTCCTCAGACACCATTTCAAATAGGACTCCTGTCCCAGCCTCCACCGATCTCACCTGGCTTCCTTTTTCCTTATAACATTTTATTTTTCTTCATGGGCCGTCTATAGTCTATAGTCTATTCTATATTGTCCTTCTATGTTGCCCCTACTATTTTCCTTGAGGGCAGGGATGAATGTCGTGTGTGTGTGTGTGTGTGTGTGTGTGTGTGGATGTTTAATCCTCACCGGAAGATATTTTCCCATTGATTTTTAGAGAGAGTGGAAGAGAGAGGGAAAGACAGATAGAAATATCGATATGAGAGAAACACATCGATTGATTGTCTACTGCACACACCCTTACCAGAGCCCAGGTAGGGAGAAGCCTGCAGCCAAGGTACGTGCCCTTGACTGGAATCGAGCCCGGGACCCTTTGGTCTGCAGGTTGATGCTCTATCCACGGAGCCAAACCGGCTAGGGCATGAGTGTTTTGTTTTTGTTCCTATGTCGTCCCTGCCTAGAGCAGGGCTCAGTGCGCAGTAGTTGGGCAGCCACTGTTGTTTCATAAACATTCCAGTAAAATGGGGGCTCCGGAAGCACCAAACGATGCTATCCTGAACCACGGCACGGCCCCTACGTTTCCACATTCACACACTCAGGCTGAGGATTAAAAGCAGCGAGCCCATGGGTGACATTCTGGGCATCAAGCCCAGGCCACGTGACAACAGGCTCGATGCCCTCAAGTCCCGTTTTATAGAGGAGACTGAGCCCCCAGGGTAACGGGGAGCAGGGCGGCTCCCCACGGGGCAGGGCCCCCGTGCCCTGCAGAGGGAGGGCAGATTAGTGCTGGGGCTCCAAGTGTGAGCCCAAAGCCAGCCAACGGGGGCGGGGAAGCTGCAGGTGAGGAGAACACAGGTGCCCACAGGGTCTGGACGTGGAGACTGGTGGCCGGAGGGCAGCTATGGGCTCAGGACGCTCCCCACCATCTCAGCCTGCTTGTCACCTGCCAGAAACTTACGGTGACTTTAAAAAAACCAAGGAGAGACTCCCCATGGGGACAGGAAGGGAGCTGGGGAGGGGTGGGTGTTTTATTGACTTCCCCTTAATTGCTGTAATTAAAAACATGTAAAGAACCCTTCTGTAATGACTTTGCTATTATCATTAGTTGTTAGCACAGCTGCCTTATTAATTTCTCAATTAGAACCCAATTCACAATCTCTCTTTGGGAAGTGGGTGGAGCCAGGGGTGGGCCCTGCCTGGCTGATCCCTGGAAGGAAGGCGTCCCCAAGGACAGGGGTCATCTGGCATCCCAGGACAGAGCCCTCCCACCCCGGGAGTTGGACGCTGCTGAGGAGAGATGCAGGGACTTGGAGAAACAGCCATCCCCACCCATCCCCAGAGCCATGTGACCGGGCAAGAGAGACAGATGGACAGACGGACAGACAGACAGACAGATGCAGGAGGACTGACTGTAGGGCCCAGGGTTGGGATAGGGTGAATGAGGTGAAAGATTTAAGGAGGCACCTGCTCTTCGGGGTCCTGCAAGTGCACGGTGAGGACCTGAGAGGGAGGGCCTCCTTAAATTTTGCATCCTCCAAGCCTCACTTGTCTCACCCTCAACCCAGCCCCAAGGGCAGAGGGGTGGCTGGGAATGTACCCAGGACGGTAGACAGATGAGGGACGGTGGGCCCTGCAGAGAGGAGAAAGCTGCTCGGCCCTGAGTCTCCAGGCTGGGAGCCCAGGGTGGTCCGAGCCTCCTTACAGCACCTGGTCCTCCCTGAAGGCCTCTGCCACCATCAGTGCACTGTGCTTGCTCTGCCCCTGGGCCTGGTCACAAACCTCCCCTCGGCTTGGGGGCCCGAGGACCCCTGTGGGTCTGGGGCAGGGCCCATGAGGTGTGTGGCCTGGTGTGGAGGGAGCACCTCATGCTGGGTGCGTGTGTGAGGAGTATGTATATTGTTGGGGGCAGGGGAGGGAGGAAAGGGTGTCAGTGTGCGAGTCCTGGGCTCTGGGTCCCTATCACGGCCAAGGAGGAAGTGTCTCAGTCACGGAGATGCTGGGTTGAGAAGGGGAGGGGGCCTCTGTGATTGGCAGGGTAAGAAGGGGAGGAGCCTCTTTTTTCTCTAATCCTCAGTGGAGAATATGTTTATTGATTTTTAGAGAGACAGGAAGGGGAAAAAAAAAAAGAGAAAAACATCGATGAGAGAAACATTGATTGGTTGCCTCCCGTGCGCATCCGACGACCGGGAATGAAACCTGCAACCTTTTGGTGCACGGATGATGCTCCAACCAACTGAGCCGCCCGACCAGGGCCCCTCCTTCTCGTTTTGACCAGCGGAGCCTGCCCAGGGGAGACTGTCATCCGAGGGCTCACAATTCCAGAAAGTTCCTACTGTCTATGCGCCACGGACTCGAAACAGACACGCCCCACGACAGCTGGACCACTCGCGTCCTGGATGGCATTTCCAACTCCACGTGTGCGCGCGCGCGCACACACACACACACACGTTCTCATCAACACGTAGGTGAGCAAAGAGGCAGACGTATCCAGCCATGCACATCTGCACATTCATGCATGCACTTACACGAATGTGCACACACTCACACACATGTTCTCTCCCATACACAGGGGGACAAAGAGGCAGATGAATTCAGACACACACATCTGCACATATGTGTGCAAGAACCCACACTGGTGCACCTACACTTGCACACACGTGTGCGCACACATGCACGTGCAGTCTCCCTGGAGGCTGCCCCACGGCTGCCCCTGCCCTGCTGGACTGGGCACCACGGCATGAAGCTACAGGGTGTCCGCCAGCCACCCGACGGCGGCCCTGTCCATCATTTGAATCCAGGGCTTTCCCGCTCCTGGGAGAGTCGAGTTGCCTTTAGTGCTGGTTTATGGGGACAGGCTGTCCTCCACTCCTGGTTACGGCTGTTTTCCATAATTATTATAAACATCTTTGCCTCACTCGAGGTTTCCTATTAGCTTCTCTCCCACTTCTCTCCAAGTGGGAAGCTCTCTCCTGTGCTAGGTCGGAGGCAAACCCGTGGGCTCTGGATGAGGGGTTACTTTTTTAATTTTTATTTTGTTCATCCTCACCCAAGGATATTTTTTCCACTGATTTCTAGAGAGAGTGGGAGGGAGGGAGGGAGGGGGGGAGGGTGTGGCTCAGTGGTTGAGCACTGACTATGAACCAGGAGGTCACGGTTTGATTCCCAGTCAGGGCAGATGCTCGATCCCCAGCGGGGGGCATGCAGGAGGCAGCCGATCAATGATTCTCTCTCATCACCGAGGTTTCTATTTCTCCCTCTCCTTTCCTCTCTGAAATCAATAAAAATATATTAAAAAAAGAAACGGAAAAAACAAAGCAGCGGGTCCCCTTTGAGGAGTGCTGAGCTCAGAGCCAGCAGACGTGTGTGTCTTTATCAGCCGCGTGTCATTTATCAGCCCCAGGCCTCGGTGCCATCAGCTGCAGAACTAGGGTACTGGCCCGTGAGCGCCGATGAGCACAGAGGGAGTGTGGCTGGTGGGTGGGGACCCCTCTCCCGCTGCACGCCCGCCCTGCCCGCGTCACCCCGGTACTCACAGGCCACCTGCACCTCGGTTTGCCTCTGCAGCAGGGCACCCATCCGGTTGCGCACGATGCAGCGGTAGAAGCCAGCATGGGTGCGGTCCAGGCTGCTGATCATGTACCTGGGGGCAGACGAGACAGCCAGTGAGCAAGCAGGCAGTTGCGGGGGTGCACAGGTCAGACTGGGGTCAGAGGGCAGAGGGCACCACCTCACCCTCTTCCAGCATGAAGAGGACCTGAGAGCTCAGCTCCCTGGCCAGGTCATGGGGTCACAGAAAGGCCCTCCGCTACGGACAGTCCCACCCACAGGCAATTTACTCAGGTGACCCGGAAGCAGCCTGCACTTCCCCAAGGACGGAGGGGCTGCGCCCGAGCCCTTGACCCTGGCCGCGACCAGACCTCCCAGCACTGCTGGGTCTGCTGCAGGCTCCTGTCCCCTTTCCCGTGACTCTCATGACGGAGAAAAGTGGCGGCGTTTTATTTTGGTCAGGCACGGGACTGCGCTGTAATATTAACTGAAATGGGTGGAGGTGACAGACGCGGGGGAAATTTACATGCTTCTCCAAATGCTTTGCATTGCTCTGTCCTTAAAGTTACAGACACCCCACAGCAGTCCTGTGCGGGAAAAGTAGTCTTCTGAGCAGGGCAGGGTGGGTTCTGCACATGGGGCCCTGGGGCCGGTATGCGCGAATCCGAGGAGGCCCCGGGGAGCCTGCTCCGGCAGCACGTGGCTGGATCGAAGAGCAGCAGAGGCTGGTTTGGAGGAAAAGCCGCTGAGAGCGGGAGGAGGAGGAGCTCACCTGGATGAGAGGCCGGGAGGAGGCCAGGCCAGGCCAGTGAGAGCGCCAAGAAGCTCGCTGGTATGGAGGGGTTAGTTCCCCTGGCACCCACTCTGGGACCCCCTTTCCTATTCCCAGGGAATGAATGACCCAGCACAGAGCTCATGAGTCAAGGAGCTTGTGCCTAGGCTATCTCCCTTGTAACGGCAGAGATAAACAAACAACCTGAAACAACCTATAAATGACCATCAAAAATAGGTCGGATCAATGTCTTAGGGTTTGTCCAGCTGACTTGGTGGATAAGCTCATTGCCGCCTACCCCCAGGCTGTGCTAACCCTGGGACAGAGTGATCTTACTCCCAGGAGTTGCCAAGTTTAGTTTTACATGAATTCCAGTGCAGGCCCATCATCATCATTACCACCACCATCACCACCACCATCAGCATCATTACCATCATCACCATCCCCACCACCATCATCACCCCCACCATCATCATCATTACCATCGTCACCATCACCACCACCATGACCACCACCATCATCACCCCCACCATCATCATCATTACCATCGTCACCATCACCACCACCATGACCACCACCATCATCACTATCTCACAATGATGCTGCTGTAATAAGTACTTTTCATACATTTCCTCACTTCACACAGCAGTTCCCAGGTTATTACATATCATAGACCAGTAACACTTAAAATACGGGGGATTGCCATAAGATTGTCCATTTTTTATCCAGGTAAGACCATTAAAACCAGCCAACCGGAAAGCAAACAGACAAAAAAATTGAACAGTGAAACACTGAGAGAGAGAAAGAGAGAGAGAGAGAGAGAGAGAGAGAGAGATGGTTTAGCAGCTTGCTCTAGTTGGCCTCTCTCCCAGAATTCTTGTGCCAGGCAGGGAGAGAAAAATAGAGATGGTTAGCATTTTATTTATAAAGGACATTTTTGAGGTAAAAAAAAAAAAGAGAAAAGAAATGACAAATTTTATGCAAAGCCCACTACACTAGCTTCACTTTTCTCATTTTATGCGGACAGGTGCAAACGGTCATGGGTCTGCATTTGAGAGCCTTTCACTCCATCTCCATGCTCATCCCCTGGAGTGACGTACCCCCACGTCAGAGCGGAGGGAACTGAGGTTCAGAAACAGCCCGTCACTGACCATGGTCTTACAGGTACGAGGAGGCAGGGCCAGGGCCCCACAGAGCCTTTCGGCTCCAAGCCCAGCAGCCAACCAGCTCAGCACTGACGTTGCACCCCGCGGGCCCCACCTTCTGTCCCGGGACTGCAGAAGCCCCCCTCCCTCTGGCTCTGCAGCATTATCTAGAACATTCTGGCTGTCCACGCCTCTTATCTCTGCCACCAGCTGCAGCTCTTATCTGTCCGTCCTCACTGTGTACAGCATGATGATGGGGAGATAGCGGGCGTCCCGCTCTGGCAAACTTCCCGTTCTCCTCAAACCCATCGTCCAGCCCATCACAGGCTCTCTCATCTCTCCCCATCTCTCCCGCAGGGAAGGGGGACAGCTTTGGGGAAACGGTTTGGGTCTTGAAGGCGATGGGGTGACCTGAGAGGGGAGATGGAGGGAGAGATTGGCTAGAAAAGCTCTCTATCTTTGGAAATGGAATCGGATATTATTAAATCACACAGGCGAGAGGAAAATGAACAGAAATGGCCCGCACACCGACAAAAAGGATGCTCAACTCCTGTCACGGCGAGACACAGCCCAATCAAAACCACGATGACAGATCAGACAGCCGAAGATCGTCATGCCTGATCATGCCCAGTGCTGGCAAGAGCGAGGGGGAGATGGGCCGGTGAAAGTGTAAACTGATCGAGGCTTCGGGACCAAACCTGTCAAAATAAGCATATGCGAGCCTTTGACCCAGAGCCTGCACTCCCCGGAGCTGGCCTTTTAGATCCGCGTGCAAAAACGTGCCAAAGAACGGGTACAAGGATGCTCCCTGCAGCATTGCTTGTAACGGGCAGAAATCAACAAACAACCACCCGGAACAACCTATCAATGACCAGCAAAAATAGGTGGGATCAATGAATGCGGCTGCGGTCACAGACGGCACAGGGACGCCTGGATGGAACGAGATGGGAGGGTCCCAGAGGCACAGAGCGTGGAAAGGCAGCTGGAGGAGACGGATGTTTATGGAAACAGGAACACGAGGAAGTAATAAGCTAAACAGTACCGCAGCTGAGCGTCAGGGGCAAGGGCCTGGGTGTATTTATTCTCAGCGCCCTGGCTAAGCTGCTGTGTCTTGCAACAGGCGACCGAACCCTAGTTTAATGTTTAGGGTCATGCAAATTGACCCAATAAAAGTCATTTGAGTTTGTGGACAAAACACACACACACACACACACACACACACACACACACAACCAAAGTCAAAGAAGAGTGTAAACGGTATGACACCACGTGGGTACACGGAAATAGCATGTATCTCTACACATTAATCACGCGTACACTCGGGCAAGTACATGCGATGTTTCGGAGACAGATCCTCCGGTACCTGTTATCTCCCTTTTGGGAGGGGTGTCGGAGTGGGGAGGGAGGGGGACTTCTACTTTTTGATTTTCCGTCTCTCTATGCCGCCGGAGTTTTGTTTATCGCACGCCATATACCGGTTTTATTTTAAAAATACAGTTAAAGAAATGCACTTGGAGCATGTAATTTAAGTCTACATTATAAAAAAGACACCAGGGACTCGCTGGGTCTGGGTTTGTTTGCCGGTGTCAGTGATGTGTGCTGAATTTTAAACTTTAGTTGAAGTAGATTTCTGCAGGCAGCTCTGCAGCCATATGCGTCTGCCAGCACTCCCGGGCCGCACCTGGGGCTCGAGGGGGGCCAGCTGGCTGCAGGCCGGCCCTCCCCTGAGGCTGGGCCAGCTCTGGGCTTCCCCCCTGCCCCCCTTCCTGCCCTGTCGTCGGGGGCAGGTTCTCCATGGCCTGGCCTAGCAGATGCAGCACTGCTCTGCTCCTCCCACCTCCCTCTCCCTGGGTCGCCTCTGGGAGGCCTATTTCTGGCATGCAGGCAGCATTATTTAAAGTAACACTTCCACCACCGCCTTCCCCAGCAGGGAAACCCGCTTCGCTCCACCCAAATTGCAGCTCTCGTCCCCCTGCCTCCCAGGCGGGCGTCAGAGGCAGCTGGCCAGCACCTCCGTTTGCTGGGAGCATCCCTGACAATGACCGTAACAGTGCTCATTATCCCAGCCTGGTTTCCTCCCCTCCCCACCTCCCCCCCCCCACACACTCAGCCTGCAGTCTATCTGCCCCACCCACCTGTGGCTGCCAGCCCTCAGGGGCCTGGAAAAGCCCTGCCTCTCTGGGCCCAGGGGCATGGACGCCATGCCCTGCAGCCGGGCTCACCCATGGTCGGGCCACGAGGGAGCTTTGGAGAAAGTCCCGGGGTTTCTGAGCCAGAGACATGTAGACTTTGATTTGATGTCTGCTCTTTCTTAGGAGTGTGGCCTGGGTGCATTATGGATCCTTGCAAGCCTCAGTTTTCCCATCTGCGAAATGGGGACATTGATGTGAGCACTGCAAGAGGATGTAAGTGCCTGGCACACCGCAGGTGCTGCACCAATACCCGTCCAATGGGGGAGCAAGTGTATGAGTCACTGGTGGGGAGTGGAAGGAACGGGGTTGATGTGGGGAGGTTCAGCGAGAAAGATAAGGAAGGTGTGGCAGGATACCCCCCTGCCCCCTGTGGGTCCATTCAGGGCTCTGTGCCAAGCATCGGGGGGCACAGATTCCCTTGCCTGGCTAATTCTTTGGCTTCCCCATGGACGGAGACCCCAAGTGTCCCCAGCCACCAACAAAGGATCTGCTATGGCCCCTTGGTTACCTAATGCTTCTTATTGAGAGAGAGGTCTTGCCTCGCCCCTCAGCTGCTGGTGGAGCATGTGATCTGCTTCCCCAGGGGCAGCAAGGAAATGGCAGGCCCGCTTCATAGGCCGCCCCTCTCAGCTCTTGCCCCCAGTGAAGCTCTCTCACCAGCCTGACCCCAGGCCCGTCACCTTTATTTGTGTCTCTGGGTGGAGGGACCTGAGCCTGGCCCCTCTGGGATGACCAGCAGTGACGGTGGGCAAGAGGCACCTCTTCCCGGCTGACCTGCTGCCTTGCTCTCCATCCCATGGGGACCCGTCAGGGCGTGGCCCCGGGGGTTGGTGGGCCCCTGCACTCACCCGCCTCTCGGATCGCTTGTGTGTTGATTGATTACAGAAAAGATACGCACAGGAGTCAACGTTCAAAGAGTAAGTGGGAAGGTGCACAGTGCACGTGCCTCCCATCCCTGGCCCCCTGCTGGCCCACCCCGGCTCCA